CCCCTCGCCGAGGGAGCAGGTCTGCCTGGCCTGCCCGAAGCACTGCGAGGCCTGCGCCCCCGGTGGCGGCATGCCGGCATGCACCATCCTCCCGGACGGGGCGCTCAGCTGCCCGACGGTGCCCTCCTGCCTCCGGTGCGAGGCGCCCTACCTGCTGCTGGAGAACGGCACCTCCTGCGTGCCGGCCTGCCCGGCCGGCTTCTTCGACGACCATGAGCCCGCGGTCCCCGTCTGCGGGCCCTGCCACTCCAGCTGCGCCACGTGCATGGGCCCCGGCAAGACCGACTGCCTCACCAACAGCCCGGAGGCCTTGCGCCGGATGCGTCTCGGTGCGCAAACATCCTCGCCATCCTCCTCGCTGCCTGTCCCGTACACTCACCCGGCCGACGGTGCTTGTGCCAGCGCTGGGCCTCGGGCTCGGCTTCGGCGTCCTGCTCCTGCTCCTGGCGCTGGTGCTCGTCCTTCTGGTGTATCGCCGTCGAGCAGCGTCCAAGGATCCCGTACGTCCCCCCTCGCCCCCCCCCCCCTGCCGACAATGGCCGCCCCCTCTAACCGCCCCTCGCCCGGCCGAGCAGGACACCCCGGATGAAGGTGCGTCCGCGTGCTCCCTCCCCTGGCTCTCTTTCCGATGATCGCCCACCCGACCGCCTGGCTGACTGACCGACCGACTGGACACACTTGCCCCATCGGCAGACGCCACCGTTCTCAATACCATTGTCGGTGCGTGGCCCAGCGTGGGACCCCTCTTGCCCTCCGGTTGCCCAGCATGCCCTAACAGTGCCGTCCCCTCAGAGCTCTCCCTGCCGGGGTCCATCCAGGTCTGCCTGGCCAGCGACTTCGCCCCGCTTGACGCCCCGCTCGGGGCCGGCGGCCAGGCCAGCGTCTTCGCCGCGCGGGCCGTCGGCGCCGGGATATCCGCCCGCCTGGGCTGCCCGGATACCGTGGCCATCAAGCAGCTGAAGGCCAGCACCCTGACTGCCTCGCGGGCGGCGCTCTTCCAAAACGAAGTTGCCCTCATGTGGTGCGCCCGCCGCCCGGGGTCCGGCCATCTGTCACTCCACCCCACCGCCCCCTGACTCACCCACGCCCACACTCATGCACACGTGTATATATCTGTCCACGCCCGGCGCCCAGGCTCCTGCGCCAGCAGCCGAACATCGTGCACATCTACGGCTACAGCGACCGGCCGCCGGCCATCGTCATGGAGCGCTTCGACGCCGACCTGGCCGGGCTCCTGCACTCGGAGGTGGAGCTGTCCCTGCATGCGCGCCTGGACCTGGCCACCCAGTGGGCCACCGGGCTGGAGGCCATGCACGCGGCCGGCATCGCCCACGGCGACCTGAAGCCCGGCAACGTGTTCGTCACCCAGACGGCCGGGTCCTGGTACGCGGCCCTCGGCGACCTCGGCACCAGCCGCAGCCTCCAAGCCGACCGGGCCACGGCCCTGGTGGCCACGGCCCCCGAGCTGAATGCCCTCTCGGCTCGGTACGCCGCGCCCGAGGTGCTCGAGGCCTTCCATCGACGCCGGCCGCTCCCCCGCGAGGCCCTCCCCCCGGCGGACATCTACGCCGCGGCCATCCTCCTGTGGGAATGCCTCGCCCGGTCGGTCCCCTGGCAGGGGTGCTCCTTCCGGGACATCGCCGACCAGGTGGCGGCCGGGCGTCGGCCCGACGTCGAGCTGGCCACCGGCCCGGTCGCCCAGGCAAGCCCGGCCTTGGCACAGACTCTGGCCGGCACGCTGCCGCTCTTATGGGGCTCGGACACCGGCGCTCGGCCTCTGGCCGCCGCCCTGCGCCACACGGTCGCCGCCCTGCGGGCCATGCTCCCCAGCCAGTAGGCTGGCCCTCCGCCCCCCCCCCCCGCCCCCAGGGATCGGCACACGCCCGGGCGAGGAAGAGGGAGGGACCGGCCACGGCCTGGCTTGCCATGCCTGGGTCAAAAGCATGCCATCGGGCCCTCGTCCCCCGGCTCCTGCCCTCGGCGCCGGCGGCCCCATGGTCATGGTCCCCAGCACGGGTGGTGCCCCTCCTCCGCTGGGCGTACCATGCGCGGGGTCCGGCGCCGGAGCTGCCCCCCCCCCCCCCCCCCCC